GGTCCGTCCGAGCACACGTGCAGTGGGTCACCCGCTGACTCGCAGGAGTGAACTGGTCAACCCCCCTATCCTGTAGATCAGCTCCACTCACGAAGTTCGTAGAGAACGAGGGGAGGTAGAGACCTTACAGGGTGTCAGAGGGGGCTGCCGGGCACGGTAAGACAGTGGAGAAGCTAGCAAGGACAGGACCCACAGAGGGGTCCGCCAGGGAGACTGCAACCGGCCGACTAAGCGGCGTAAGCGTGGTGCAGTCTTGAAAGAAGGAGCGGGAAGCACCCGAGTCAAGGGTGAAGGTGTGTAAGGCCTGAGCTGACGTGGTACCTGAGAGAGCAGACTCACCAGCACCTGGGGCAGCAGACGCACTAGCACCTAGAGCAGCAGCCTTACCAGCACCTAGAGAAGCAGCCTCAATGCCCGGGTCAGGCGGAACACACAGGTAACAGTCACCCTCAACACTATCAGACACAGCATACATGGCAGCAAGAATAGCATCATTATCAAGATCAAAGATAGCAACCCCCGCCCTAGACAGCTCTCCCTAGTGAGGGATCTCAGTGGTGTCAGGAACTGGTGACGCCACGCATCCGTCAGGCGGCCGAAGCAGCGCTGGGTGGAGTGCGGGCCCCCGCACTGCTCACCAGCGCAGTCGCCGGTACGGAGGACGTAAGTGCAGGGACCAGTACCCCCACCGCGCTGACGGGCAGCGTACCACTCACGAAGCTGCTGAGGGGACAGGGTCTCACGACTGCGCTGCTGCTGCTGGCGCAGACCACCACCGGACCCACTCCTCTGCGCACAGTCGCAACCAGCTCCACCGCCGCCGCCGCTGCCGCCTCCACCACCTCCGCCGCCTCCGCCGCCTCCGCTACCTCCGCCGCCTCCGCTCCCTCTGCCACCGCCGCCGCCTCCACCGCCTCCACTGCTGCCACCGACACCTCCACCCCCGCCACCACTCCCACCACCACCCCCACCCCCTCCACTGCCTCCACCACCACCTCCACCGCCCCCGCCAGCCCCTCCAGCGCCCTTGCCCCCCTTTCCCTTGCCGGTGCGTCGTCTCCCGCTAGGGGTAGACGCAGCGCCGACCGACTCGAAACCAACGAGGTCGGCCGCAGCAGCAGAAGCAACAGAGGGCAAGAGGGGGGAAGGGGAACACCCCTCAAAGACGGGGGTGCGAGGGTCACCACGAGAGGCTCCTAAAGCGACTATGTTCTTCTCTGCTGCTAGGAGGCGCTCCTCGAGGAGGTCAACGGTGAGTGTGGTGGGGCAAACTGAGAGGAAGTGGTCCCTGACTAAGCGAAGGGAGTGAGGGAGCCGGGTGACTATGGAGTAGAGGGTGATGTAAATGGGGGGGGGGGGTTCTTGGCACAGAACTCAGTAGGAAGCGCAGCGCGGTAGCGAGTGTCACAAGTGCGAAGGTGCGTAATGAGGTCAGCGACTGTGGGAAAGGCAGCAAGGTCAGGGAACAGGTACGGCAGCATGAGGCGGCTCAGCGCGGCAGTGGCAGGGGAAGAGTAGCGTGCAACTACAGCGGCGTACAAGGTCTTAGCACTCTTGTACTGGCTAAAGTGCGCACGCTCAGTGGTCGGTAAGTGGCGACGCACAGCAAGACGGGCAGCAGCATCGCGTGTGGCCCACTGTGAGCGAACAGTGCTGTCAGCAGTTGCAGGCAGGGCAGGAGAGGCACCAGAGGTGAGATCGAACAGGGAGAGTCCGTCTGCCCTATCGCACTGTAGGGACAGCTGGAGGTCATCGACCCATACCTCAAAGTCAACAGCACGACCCTCAGCATCAAAGGTAAGGACACTGGGGGTAGTCATGACTGCAGTGGCCTAGCAGGGAGTGATCTCACCAGTCCGAGTAAGTAGGGCCGGGGCGCGCCGGTAGGAACAGTAGCGGCTCGACGGCAGGGCGGCTCGGCGGCTCGACTGCTGGGCGGCTCGGCGGCTCGGCGGCTCGGCTGCTGGGCGGCTCGGCGGCTCGGCTGTTGGGCGGCTCGGCTGTCGGGCGGCTCGGCGGCTCGGTTGCTGGGCGGCTCGGCGGCTCGGCTGCTGGGCGGCTCGGCGGCTCGGCTGTTGGGCGGCTCAGCTGCTGGGCGGCTCGGCGGTGAAGGGGCCGGTAGAGGCGGCGACGGGTCCAGTAGAGGCGGCGATGGGGCCGCTAGGGGCGGCGACGGGGCCGCGTAGGGAGGGGAGCGGCGACGAGGCCGCTAGGGGCGGCTACGGGGCCGCGTAGGGGCGGCAACGGGGCCGTGTAGGGGCGGCGACGAGGCCGCGTAGAGGCGGCGACGGGGCCGCGTAGGGAGGGGAGCGGCGACGGGGCCGCTAGGGGCGGCGACGGGGCCGCGTAGTGGCGGCGACGGAGCCGCGTAGTGGCGGCGACGGGGCCGCGTAGTGGTGGCGGCGGGGCCGCGTAGGGAGGGAGGCGGCGACGTGGCCGCGTAGGGGCGGCGAAGGGGCCGCTAGGGGCGGCGACGGGGCCGCGTAGGGGCGGCGACGGGGCCGCGTAGGGGCAGCGACGGGGCCGCGTAGGGAGAGAGGCGGCGACGGGGCCGCTAGGGGCGGCGACGGGGCCGCGTAGGGAGGGAGGCGGCGACGGGGCCGCTAGGGGCGGCGACGGGGCCGCGTAGGGGCGGCGATGGGGCCGCTAGGGGCGGCGACGGGGCTGCGTAGGGGCGGCGACGGGGCCGCGTAGGGGCGGCGACGGGGCCGCGTAGGGAGAGAGGCGGCGACGGGGCCGCTAGGGGCGGCGACGGGGTCGCTAGGGGCGGCGACGGGGCCGCGTAGGGGCGGCGACGGGGCCGCTAGGGGCCGCTAGGGGCCTGGAAGGGCGGCGACGGGGCCGCTAGGGGCCGCTAGGGGCCTGGAAGGGCGGCGACGGGGCCGCTAGGGGCGGCACGAGGGGCCGTGAGAGGTGGCCTCTAAGAGAGCTCAATAGAAGGGCGGCCCACAAGGCGCGCCTCGGGCAGGAGCGACTGGCGCTCCGGTAAGAAAAAAAATTCAGTGGTGGGCCCAAGGAAGCGTTCCCACTAGGGAACCTGCTCTATACCATGTGAAGAAATGAGGAATGAATGAACTAGGAAAGAGGTGGGTACAAGTAGGAATACCTAGAAGTGTTGTACCCCATATAGTCTACCCCACTACAGCCTACACAGACTATAACATATAAGTTTGACACCACCGCCGCCCAATCTCATACCAGTCAGGGGATTACGTACTACTCGACACACAAAATCTGCGACTGCTCGACGTACCAAAACTCCGACCGCGCTACTGTGGCCCATTCCAAATCATCCACATGATCACGCCAGTAACCGCGCACCTACTGTTACCGACCGGCTGGTACATCAGCCCTTCGTTCCACGTCAGCCTGCTTCGCCCCTACATCCCAACCACAAGCCAACTGCCTCGCCACCGCCCGCCATCTATGACTCGCCCTGCATCTGAGCCGATCATCGCGCCCGAAAAATTCCTAAGCCATCGGATTCGACACCCCACGGGAATCAAGAGGATTGAATTCCTCGTTCGTTGGAAGGGTCGCACGCCAACTGAGGACAGCTAGGTGCCCTGGCCAACAACGGAAACCACCCTGCCCTGCAAGTGTACATGAGGAGCCGGGGATTCCGCGATATATACGTAGTCGCATAGCGGAGGGGGCTTCTTGAGGGGGGGGGGGGGGGTAGTGTAAGGAATTTTCTCGGCATTCCTTACGGAGCCCGACTACATCGCGTACAGCAACGGCCGTTGTTCACCCGTTACTGCTAACGGGGCTTCGCCGACTTCGCGCACTATTTCACCAAACCTCGCACTGCTGGCCTGGCCGTGTCGGCCTACGTTTCGGGACTAGCCCGAGCCTCGCTTCCAGCGTAGCACTAGCTAGCTCGCACGCACCGCGTTACCGTTTGCATGTTTCGCGTATAAATGTTCGCTCATGCCTTCGCTCACATTTTGTACTCGTTTGACACCTTAGTGCAATTCTCGCTACTTAGATTCATTGCACCCGTAACACCTTCGGACATTACAAATAGCCCATGAGACAGATTTGAGTGTACACCCAAAACTCAGCTCTTGGAACCAAGGTCAATTCAAGAAAGAAAAACGCCATGCAATCCTGAGCTGGTCGTGACGTGGAAGTTGCCCCGCGAGACATGACCTGGCTCGAAAGCTCGACACTCGAGTCACACCCGACAAATCATATGCAATGCGGATCCTTCGTACAAAATATTCTAGCCAATCAGAAGGTAGGTTACGTTTGCTGTGAGGAAGGGGAAAATGTAGTCGTTGTGTGATACCGAGCGGTCTGCTCCTTGACAAGCTCTCAAGGACCAATCGCAAGCGCGTTTGATGCCTTAGCGGCCCCAACTTTCCGAGCCTCCACCAGTTGCAGCCAGGCCAGCCAAGGTCCTATTTTTTTGCGGCGTCCTCCCCCAGGCTTGGCAGGCAGCAAAATATTTTCGCCAACCAACCTGGCTTGGTTCTCCAACGACTCTTGTCGCCGGTGCGAAGTCGCGTTTTGAGGGCGAACCAGAACCATCAACATCCGCCACGTAAATATCATGTCATAGATTCTCTGCCAGCTGCACCCCGCCCAGCCGTCAGTAGCGTGCCGTTGGTGAGAAGTTGACGGTGGAGCTTTGGCTGAGTGGTTTGGTAAGGAAAAGCGGATCAGGTAAGCTTCGAGCCACGGTAACCGTCAAGTCCGTCAGGATCTGTTTTTCGCCCATCACCCCAAACCTCGCCTCACCTTGCATCAACTCGTCATCACACAGCCCATCGCATTCCATCTCCTGCACCCCCCATTTGGCAATTTTTCATGTTGATGTTCAATCTAACTTTAGCTCACTGATCTGCAGCTGCTACTAGTTGTGCCAACTCCTGCTACTTGTGCCAACTTTGAACACCAGGTTTCGGCATTCTTTCTCACGTCACTTGGCCACGGCATTACGCGCCGATCCTATGACTGCACCCTCCAGCAATGTATCCGTATCGCCACGAGGCCTCATGACGCCAACTCGCCCTAACGCGCGGCGCGCGTCGCTCAGAAAGCACATCAAATACATATTGAACTTGTCACAAAAGCCGATGCATCGCCACCGTCGATCTGACTCGAAATCACAACCGAATGGCTCGCGCTTCGTCCTCTTTCCTCCTCCATTCTACATAATCCTCCTCTCACTCCTCCTGCACCATGCGCTTATTGCCTCTTCCAGCGCTTCCCCCGATCTTCCCCCGCTTGCCCGTGGAGCCCCTGTGGCACGCCACCCCCCATCTTCCGCCACCGAAGCTACTAGTCACCGTCCTTTAGAAGCAGACCAAAGACAGGCTGTAGATGCATCCCCTTTTCCCATTAGCGCCGCCACTGCAGATCGCTCTACAGCCACAACTGCACCGGAAGCCGCCACTTCGTCCACCAATCCCGCCGCAGAAGGAGGGACTGTTGCGAGTCAGGCGGACGACACTCGTACTACTGAGGATCGTTCTCAACTGCCGGTTCCACAGTTGCCGTCGCGGACCAGTGCGGCGCCCTGGGTACTGCCTCCGCAAATAGCGAACGCGCAGGCTGGCGGAGTGGTCCGCGCTAAGGGATCGGCGGGGGATGACGGGGGGAAGGCGGGAGATGCAGCAGCAGAGGCGGGGAAGAGCGTGCCTATGGTGCCGATGGTGCCGATAGTACCAGAGATGTCGGCGAGCGAGCGATGGGTGCGCGACGCCCTGGTCGCCGTGCGACAGTACCTCACCTTGCCCGACGGCAAGAAGTGGCCGGTAAGCTTGCGTTGTAGTGCACTAGATGCAGCCCTGTGAATGCCACGTGTCCAAGCGGATCTGCATCGATGCGACCGTCGGAAATCAGGGCAGAAACCAGGGCGCGTTTGATCTGTCAACCTGCACACGTGCATTGCCATTCCACCCTCGTGCGACCCTGGCCAGCTTGTCCCCTCCACCCCTCGCGCAATCAACCTCTTTCCTCACTCCTTCGCTGCTCCCCCGTCCTCCTTACCCCACCCGTCCCTCCATCCCTCGCTCTCGCTTCTCATCTTCCCCCTCCTATCGCACCCGCCTTCCACCCGTCTCCTCCCCCATCTATGCTCCGCGTCCCCCCGACAGCCCTTCGAGCCGAACGCCAAGGTGGCGGCGGCGTCAGTGCTGAGCGTGGTGGGCGCGGCGCTGGCGAACGCGGGCGGCGTGGGCGGCGGCGGGCTGTTCGTGCCGCTGTTCAACCTGCTGCTGGGCTACGACGCCAAGACGTCCACCGCGCTCTCGAAATGTACGCGTCCCGGGGGGACTTATGGAGGAAAGGGAGGTCCGGATATGGGGTAGGGGGAGCAGGGTAGACGTGGAGTGAGTGGAAACAGCGTGGTGAAAGGGAGAGGTGCGGGGTGGAGGGGTAGAGAGAGTAACGAGAAGGAAGGGAAGTAGGGAAGGGTGGGATGCTGAGGAGGTGGCTGAAACTGGCTGATCCGCCTTGGAGTCACTGCTTCCTGCTCATGAACAAGGGCCTGCTCCCCTTACCATCCACCTCTCACATTCTTTCCCCACCTCATGCGCTTCCCCCCTCCCCGTTTCCCCCTCGTCTCGCCTTGCCTCCGTTCCTCTCGCTCCCGTGGTCCTTCGGTCCCTCCTCGCCACGTCCTGCCACGTGTACAGCAATGATTATGGGCGGCGCCATAGCGAGTGCGTGTTTCAATGCGGGTCTGCGGCACCCCACCAACAACCACCGCTCTCTCATCGACTTCTGTAAGCCGCCCTTCCCTCCTTCGCACCCACGCCGCCACTGCTACTCATTCGCAACCACGCTCAGCATTCTTCCAATAAGCCGTGGAGGGCTTTTCGCCGCTCGTTCCATCTCGTCCCTAACCGGAAATCGTGCGCCATTCACACCGCGTGGTCATTTACGCTCGACGCTCCGCACACTCGCTCTGTTCCGTCTCTCCTCATCTTCACAATCCGAAGCTGCCCAGCCCCTTCACCGATTCCCTCTTCCCTTGCCTCTGCCCTCCCTTCCTCCACCCCCCACCTCCCCCCGACCCCCCTTCGCGAACCCCCGGCGCGGTGATGCGTGCGGCGGGCAGCGATCGCGCGGCTGATGCAGCCGATGCTGCTGCTGGGCATCAGCATCGGCGTCATGTGCAACGTGGTCTTCCCGCCCTGGCTCATCACCGTCATGCTCTGCGTCCTCCTCTCCTGTACGCGCCCCGCCCCCCACGTCTCCCTTACTCCTTCCCCCACGCCCCTCCCACGTCCCTCTCGCGCCCCTCGCGTGCCTCTCCCGCGTCCCAGCTCGTGGCAATGCATTAGCTCTCTCGCCCTTCCGCGCCCGCTTGTAGCCATTTTTCTATCTTGCATGGATGCCTGCTGCTTACCCTTCCCACTCTCCCGCTCTTCCCTTCTCCTACTGCACAATGCTGCTGCTGCTGTTGCAGCTGGGGGTGCTAACGTTAACACCTACACCTCACTCTATCCAGATCCCTTCTATCAACTCTTCTCTCTCACCACTCTACCGGCCAATAGTCACACTCCCTCTCCTTGCCCATTCCCCCCACCGTCCCACGCCAGTCATGACGTACAAGACCCTGGGCAAGGGCATTGCCACGTGGAGAAAGGAGTCGCGCGTCAATCCGGTACGCCTCATAGCCACGCCCCACGGCCATGGCTCCTCCCCTGCCCGCCCTGCTATGCATGCACTTACACAAAGCTGAACACGGGAGGGGAGAGAGAGCGAGTGAACCTGGGGAAATGGACGCGAGGGGGAGGATAGGATGATGAGTGGATCAGCAAGCAGTCACGAGTCGGCGCTGTAACTTCCTTTGCCACTCTTTCCTTCATCCCTCCCTCGCGACTCAGCCCCGTTGACTTTCTGACGCCACGTTTCCTCTGCGTCTTCCCGCTCTCCCCGCCTCTGCCCGGCCCTGCCATCAGGCGCTCTCCCGAACATCATCCGTGTCGTCGCATACCTCTCGCCGCTCAACCACACCTGGTACTCCCCGCACGCCCCACTCCCCGCACTCTCTCATTCACACGATCCACAATTTTCTTTTCCTCCTCACCTCCACTAGTCCCCCTTTTCCCCCGCATGCGTCTCACTCCCCCTTCCCTTTCTCTCCAACCCTTACCCCGCACCCTTCAGGCTACCGCGGCCCTCACAGCGCAGCGGCAGCAGGGGGAGGCAGGGCGGAGCAACAGTACAGGAGCAACAGGCTCGGCAGAGGCGACGCATCGCCCTTCTCGCCTCTCCCCAACGGCCACTCACACTCATCGACGCTCTACAAGCCCCCACACTCGCACCACCACCTCCACCATCACCACGAGGCGGCGTCCCTCAAGCCCACCATGTCGCTCGACTCTGCCTTTGCTACCCGCTCCTTTGCTGCCGCCCCTCCACCGTCCGCGCTGCTGTCGCACGCGTCCCTGCACTCGTACACGAGCCTGGACTCGGAGACAGCGTTGACCGTGCATGACTTGGTTGACCCCACCAGCCTGCCTGCACCCGTGCAGGAAGAGGAGGGGCGGGGGGGGGCACATGCGGTGGGGGAAAAAGGGCAGGAGGGGCAGCACGGGGGAGATAGCTGTGGGGAGGGGCGAGAGGGAGATGCGCCAGGAGAAGGGAGCGCGGATGCTGCTGCTGATTCCGTGGAGGATGGGCGGGCAGGGGGGGGCTGTGCTGGGGGCGGTGGGGATGGCAATAGTGGTGGTGGTGGTGGTGGTGATTTGCGGAAGCCACTGCTTGGGCGATTGAGGGGCACACGGGCAGACGAGGATGGAGAGAGCCAAGCTGCCACACCCCGCTCCCAGGTATGTTCCCACACCACATTCCCTCTCCTCCCTCTCTCCTCCCTCCCTTACCTCCCATCCCTCCGTCTTTCAATCCCCCCTCAATCCCTACCTCTCTCCCTCCCTCCCTCCCGCTCACCCTCGCTGCGCTGCCTATGATACAACATCCACTCACTCCACGGCTCTCCCCATATCTCTCCCGCAGTGCCAAGCGCAAGCCGCGCCAGCAGCAGCAGTGGGGGGGCAGTGGCGGGGGCTGATGGGGGGAGCGGACGCGGTGGCAGTGGCGGAGATGGTGGTGGTGTGGGCCTTCTTCCTCGTCGTGCAGGTCGTCAAGTCCTCCACGCCTGACTGCAGCACGCAGTACTGGCTCCTCACTGCCGCCCAGGTCAGCATCACCTGCGCCCATTTCATCCTTGACGCCTTATTCATCATGTCTGCAACTGCCGTCGTCACGAGTCGGTCGCCGTGCAAGCAGACTCAGTGCCGTTCGGGCGGAGCTGCCTCGCCAGCAGTGCAGTGCACCACCCACCAGCCCTTTCACGGCCGTGCATGCTTGCTCTCACCTCGTAATCATCCCCTTCCGCTCTCACCACATCGAACCCTCGCCTCTTCCATGCACAACGCAGGTGCCGGTGGCGCTGTTTGCAACGCTTTTGACAGGGTGGAGGGCCCGAGGGCGCAAGCTCTGGTGGGAGCCCGTGGACACGTCCCGAGCCTACCTGCGCCTCTCCGCACCCTCCACCCCCACTGCCGCCCACGCTGCGCGCATCCCCACCCACGCTGCCACCGCCACCGGCGCAGCTGCTGCTGCAGGTGCTGCGGCTGCTCTGTCGGTGCCGGGGTCGCCAGTCCCCCCTGGCACTCCACGCAACATGCAGCCTCGCTACGACTTTGCGCGAGAATTGACGTACCCGCTGGCGTCGCTGCTGGCGGGGTGCATGGGCGGGCTGCTGGGCATCGGAGGTGGCATGGTCATGGGACCCGTGCTGCTCGAACTCAACATCCCACCGCAGGTGAGTGGGCAGGGAGGGGGGTGGAGGAGAGTGGTGTGAGGAGGAGAAGGGCAGTGGAGTGGGAGTCAGCAGGTGGGGCTGTGTTGCGCTGTGCAGCCCCCCCCCCTTCCCCTTCCTGTGCAGCCTTCACCTCCCCCTTCCCGATTGCAACATTGTGACGGCCTCTCTGTGCTCGCCTCCCTTCCCAAGCATTCCCAAAACCACCCTTTCCCATCTCTCCTCCCCTTTCCTCCTCTATCACTATCCCCCCCTCCCCTCCTCCCACTGCCCCCATCCCGTGTCTCTATCTCGCAGGTGACATCAGCAACGTCCACGTTCATAGTGGTGTTCTCCTCATCGCTCTCCGTGGTGGAGTTTTACCTGCTGGGCCGCATCCCCCTCAAGGTCGCCTCCTACTTCTGCCTGCTCGCCATGATCGCCGCCGTCTCAGGCCTCTCCATAGTGCGCTCCATAGTCATCCGCTCAGGCAAGGCATCCATCATCATCTTTGCACTGGCTTCAGTCATTGGCAGCAGCGCCATTGTGCTGGGGGCTATTGGCGGCTTGCATGTGCTCAACGACTGGAAGCACGGCGAGTCCATGGGCTTCCGCCCTCTCTGCAACCAGGTCTGGTGATCCCCGTGCCTGCGGCGGCCTGGCCGAGCCTTCCCGTGAGGGTTCAGGGGAGGTGGTGCTCTTGAGGAGAGTGCGAAGACATGCAGAGGGCCGTCGCTAACCCTGGTGGCAAACTTGAGACTGGTTCCACACATAGCCTTGTCATGCTGTGGATTGCACCCCCCCACAACCAATGCTTGGCATGCCAAGCCATGCCATGCCATTTCATCATGTCTAACTCAGCGCTTCCGTTAGGTCCTATGCTTGGTGCGATGGTTTACCGGACAGCCCCAGCCCAGATTCCTCAAGCAAGCAGCAGCAGCTACTGCTGCTGCATAGATAGCAGCAGTCTTGCCTTAGTTGGTGTCGCCTGCATACATGGTGTGATAAGCTGACCCATACATACAATTGTCTTTTGAATTGTAGGAAATTGGTAGGCCCTTGCGAGGCCCCCATTACAGCATATCTTGTCTTGTACCGATACCGTAATTGGGCTGTACTCTCATACGACTGCTTGAGAAGAATAATATAATCAATATTACTCCACTTACCGGTATTGCAGTCTACATGCAGCTGAAACGTAGATGAATTAAGTTCATTTGGTAGTACCAAATGTATGGTTACTACCATACCGTACCTTGCAGAAAACTTGAACATTGTATCCACAATGAATTGTTCCAGCCCAGGATCTGCAATGCACCTCATCAGCACTAGAAGTGTGAGCATATTTGAGTCCTTACATTCACAATCCGAAACTACTGCTCTTAAGCAAGAACATCATACCGTACCACAAAGGTACCAAACACTAAGCACCCCCCTGTCAGATTGCTTGCAGTTGAAGCGCAGTCCAGGCACAGCAACTACTTCAGCCAGTGTGCTACCGGACTACGCTTTTGCTACCAGGAGCAGCAGCAGCAGCATCATCACCACCTCCTACCCTGCTGTGCAGCAGAGGGCCCAAGCTGCCCTAAACCATCACTTTTTCCCCCCAAACCATGACTTGAACATCCCAAACACTCCACCTCCCTGCTTGGGCTTGGGCGCCGGGGCAGCCTTCGGGGGAGGCTTGGGCACGCGGTTGGGCTCGCCTTTTCCCTGCGTGGTCCCCGTCTGCTCTGAGTCTGGAGGCGGGGGGTGCAGTGGAGAGGGGGGCGGAGACAGGGGAGGGGAAGGGGGAGGCGAGGGGGGAGGGGAAGGAGAAGGAGGGGATGGGGGAGATGGAGGAGGAGAAGGAGGGGATGGAGGAGGGGGCGAAGGAGGGGGAGAGGGGGGTTTCGGAGGAGGAGGGGAAGGAGGCTTAGGCGGAGGAGACGGAGGCCTCGGGGGTGAAGGCGGCTTGGGCGGAGAGGGGGGCTTAGGCGGGGAAGGCGGGGACGGCGGCGGTGATGGCGGCGAGGGCGGAGGAGGAGAGGGCGGCGAGGGAGGCGGCACATACTTCTGCACGCAAATGGCGGAGGCGAAATAACTCCATCCAGCGGCTTCCGCAGCAGCCCCGCCAAGGTTGAGCGTCATGGCCGTATCGGCTTCCGTGGATCCGTCAGGACTCAGCCGCATGACCGTCAGCCCTTCCGGTAGCGCCAAGAAAGCCACCGGCGGATTGCTCGGGTAGAACGCCAGCTCACCCCCGTCCGTTCCTGACGTCAGAAACTGAAACGGCCCTAGATCTGCGCCGGCCGACGCGCAGCCCGTAGTTTCTGCGAACGGCACAGAATCCACGGTCCCTAGGCGCACCTGATTGGCTGCGAATCCGCCGCCAGCGTAGCTAGCGGAGCTGCTAACTAGAATATTCTTATGTGCAGGGTTGACGACGAGTGATCCAGGAGTGCCGGTAGTTAAAGACGTGATGGTGAGCGGCGTCAGCGATCCGGTGAGTGGCAGGGCGTAGGTGTAAACCGCGTTGACGTCGAAGCGCAGCACGGCGATGAACGTACCCTGAGGCGAGCAAACCGCTTGCTTGGCGGCAAACGGAACGCTGAAGTATTTAATCGCCGCCGTCTGGAAGGCCCCCGTGGCGGGATCGATCGGAACCACAACAATGAAGTCCGCATCGTCGGCAGTCCTGTGACACGTCAGCACGGCAAAGTCCTCCGGCGAGCCGAGCGGTTTCCGGCAAAACGAGACGGACAGGCACTGGTGACCGTTTCCTACTAAAACCGTCTCGGTAACAGTGACCCGGTTCGTGCTCCCAGCAGCACCGCTGGATGCGGCGGTGATGGCGGCTTCCAGTCCCGATACGTCGAGCCCCAAGGCGCCGCTTGCGGTTACAGAGCCATCTGCCGCGATAAGCAGGTTGTCCGACGCGCCTCCAAGAGCGACTCGGGTGATGGTGGGAAGGGAGACGTCGATGGCCGGCCGGGGGACGGGGCCGGCAGTGGCGTAACGGACCACATTGATGTAGCCATCGGCAGATGACGTGTACGCGAATCCGTTTCTGCCGACAGCGCAGCTGTCCAGTAGCGCCGCCGTGTTATTATCCGGATTTGACGACGCTCCTACCTCGCGATGCGTTAGGAGGTTCAGCTGCCAGACTTGGTTGGTCGTCGCGCCCGAAACAGGCTCGTACGCGCCTCCTGCGACTAGACCAACGGGAATGCCAAGAGTCGAATAAGCGGGGGTTTGAGCGAAGACCGCGAGTAGTAGGGACGGCGAAGACAGCAAGAGTATGCTTGCTAGCGCGAACTTCACGAGACAGGCTGGTGAGAAGCAGCCATCCACGTGGCAACGTCTGCCACGTGGCGCAGGGGCCATGGCGCAGAGAAGATCCCTAGGACTCTACCTAAAGATAGAGGCGAGAAGTTGTTGGCTCATCGAAGTCACAAAATGCTTGGTTTTGGGGCGGTTATATTGGCAAGAAGAACAAGAGGGTGTACGGTTGGAGGGGAAGACCTGGACGATTGAGGATTGGTTGGCGTTGGCAAACAAAGGATTTGTTATGGGCAGCGCTGGCAGGAAGACTGGGAGTGTTTGTGGGGCATTTACTTCCGCGGTAGCACACATTAGGCTCGATCGCACTCGAGTTAAGCCACATGTCCAAATCGTAACAGAAGTATCCTCTCTTCGCCACCGTGGTAGCCTTCATGCCTAGATGGTCAACATTATGGCCCAAATGATAATGAACAGCGCGTCTAGAATTCCTGGCTGGTAACTTCGCGTTCCAACAAAACTGTACGCCGTACAAGTAGGATTTGACTCAGCGAAATTGAGCCGACTATCCACGTATGCATCACGCACATTGTTTAGTAGACGAACGTTTACAAACGCAAAGTGTTATATGCACGTATGCGATACGTTTAAATATCCCTATAATAACATAGAATATATAGAAAAATAATCAAAATCACAAGATCAGTTTTTTCGTTCATGTTTATTTAGCAAAAAAACAAATAATTGAAGCGAACCATAAACATCAATTTCTAGCCTATATAACGAATAAACATCATGGATAGAAATGATTTTTAACCCGTTTAGACGCATTTGTAGTTTCATTGACCAGATATTTCAATATTTACTAATACAGCTTCATATGTTTGTAATATCAAGAAATAAAATTGTTGCTACTAATAATATAATGTTTGTAACTTTATTTGGGTAGAATTGGTAAAAATTGCAATCAAAGGTCTAAGAGTAGTAGTCCTTCACACTAAAATCTTTAGGATAGCTTTGCGGTTCACACTGTGTTTTTTGTGACATTCGTTTGATAGTTAATGAATTATGCTTTCCATTTGTTAGGATTTTATCCAGATTACGAGTTAGCATATCGATGCTTTATCGTTCGGGATTGTAAACGCTGTCATTATAAACGGAAATGCGCATTTTGTGGAGTAGACGTGAACATTCAGTTTCATTTTCGCTGACTCAAACACTACTTGTACGCAGTTTGGTTAGAACGCGAAGTGACCAGCCAGGATTACTGGATGCACTGATCATTACCACGGTGGCGATGAGAGGATTTTTGTTACGATTTGGATACGTGGCTTATCTCGAGTGCGATCGAGCCCAATGTGAGTTATCGTGAAGGTAAATACCCGTGTTTGAGCGAGAGTCCCACAACCACCAATTCCCGCTGAGCTGGACATGGGGAAAGGGAAGGAGATCCCAGTCCAACACGAATCACACCTCTGTTCTTCATTCCTATGGTGCTCAAAATGATTTTTCTTGTTTCCCAATTAGCTTTGGGTTGGAGATTTCTCATGTCTACGACCGCATCGCAGGTGTTGTTGCGATGTCGGTTCACACAAGAAGCGCGTAAGCTGCATCTTCCAAGTGCACCTGGCGTCATAGGAGTGGTCGACCAAGAAAGGATCCCAAGAGATCAGGGCTCACTGCTATGCCGAGCGACAGCTTCGTGTGTACACTGCACACACAATATGTTCTGACCTGGAAGTGTGGGTGAGGACGAGGTTGTTGGGAAAACCCCACAGCAAAGCCGATGAAAGCGTTAGCTAGGCTGGGCTAGATTGGTTTGCATTGTAATGTAATGTATCGCAATAATAAAATTCAACATCGAGGCGTACTACGGTGAATCCGCTGCTGGTTCCAGCGGATAACGCGCTGCGTTTCGTGTTGTGAACACACGCAGCGAATCCTGGAAGTGTAAAGCTTCACGATCTCACGATTCGCGAGGTGCGCGGCGCTTCATCCGCGCGATGCCATTTCACGGTCACAGACATTAGGGCCAGTCAATGTACAAGCGATCCGACTGATGTGAATAACTCCGAGCCTCATTGGACGGTTGTCCGCTCTGCCCAAAAACCTGGTTAGGTCACGTGCCTAGTCATCAAACCAAACCACCCCCCCACCGCATCTTACCTCACCCTGTGGTTCGACTTCGCCCCGAGCACATTGGTTCCTCCGCACATTGGTGTTGCTCTCAGAGGGTATGGATGTGACTGATGTGATGTGAGCCAACCGACAGTCGTGCTATTCCGGCAATACAGTATTATATTTATCCCTTCCAGACTAGACCTCTCCCACTCAATTACCTAGCTGGTTCGCCTACAGCCCCTCCCAAACAGCATGTGGAAACCAAGTACACTACAGTACTGAAAATTTTCAGCAGTGACAATTTTCGAGTGGCACCTGGAATGTATCTCACTGGCTTGCACAGTTTGCTAGCTCGAATCATCCCAGCGGCGAAAACCCCACGTGGCGTTGTGGAACAGATGACATTCGATAGAACGCCGTACGTCAAAGGTCATTGGCGTGGTGGCTCCCAATGGCGCAGTACGTACGCACACCATCACGGGTCGAGTTTCAGCTCGCAGTCGCTGATGGATGGGAGACTGTGGAGTCCCGGCTCGACTGGGGTGATGTCATTCAAGACACGTGTCAGCGCGTAGCCGAGTCGGCCAACACTCTCATTCCGGCACGCGGAACAAGACCAAGACCAAGCGGAAGCCAGGCGCGATTTGGACCTGCTGGTCACCTCAATCCCATTTCGCATACTCAAATTTCAATGGAGTATATCCTGCTGGTCGTCCAAACCTGGCGTGTCTGGGAACGTTTATGCCTACACTTACCGAACAATCACAATCCCGTCGCGAGTTCACCCTATTGTCGCCATGTTCGTCTATCACGTCATTTGCTGTCACGTCCAGAAATCCGACATCGCAGTTACTTACCACCAGTTAGGCTGCCGATTTTAGGCAGGATTTATTTGAACTCACCAGCTTCTCTACCACGGACGTCTCCTCAGCCCTTAAACAGGAGCTTCTAATCACGTAGTAGTTCGACAGTGGCTTGACATAAGTAGACCAGCTAACATAACGTGGCACGTGACTGTCAGCAGCAGCGCAATCCATTGCCGTTAAAGCTAGATCAGGGGGGGCAAGAGCAGTGACAAGAGGGGCAAGAGCAGAAGGAGGGGCAGAATCAGAGGAAACAGGGGGAGACCTTAATCTGAACGGCTCCCTCGCGTAACGCCATGTGTTCAGACCCACCGTGGCATCGCGAATGAGCTTTTCGTCGACCATGACCATCGTGTTGACGTCGAAAGAAGGATCCAAGACGGCATAAATTTGGGGCATCGCTCGACTCGGCGGTCTTCCGCAGTAGTTGCAACGGCAGCCATGGCTACGCCCCCACGTGATCCCACTCACAGCGCTTCAAGTTCCGCCTCTGACGGCGCGTCTCACCGCTGGACTTTCTCCCGCCCGCTTGTTGAAGATATTCCGCCGACCGCCAAGCTACTCCCGAACATTGCTCGCCAGCAGCCCGCTGGAGAGCCTGTTAATGTCTATAACGAGATGAGGTCGATTTATGGAAATTCACATCTGCCGTCGTCAACTGCTGGGAAATCATTGATGGAGCCGGCGATGGGATCCACGGGTTCGCTCGACTCGCCGCTCCTTTACATACCCTCCTCCCAATCGCTCTCACCTAACGCTTCGCAATCTTCGCCGCACGCTTCGTCGCAATCGTCTCCGCATGTATCGCCGACGTCTTCGCCATGCATCACACCAAACGCGTCTGCGAACGACTTCTCGGCGCTCGATTCCCCAGTCAAGTCCCCTCATCACAATTCCTCCCATGACTCCAACTCACCAGCAATCCCCTTCACTCTCGCATCGCAACGACCCGACGCGCCGCTCCCTTCCCCCCGGCCCTCCTGTGCGACGTCATGGCCCCCGTCTGCGACAACCACGTGCAACCAAACCGGAGCTTCGAGCTGCTTTAATCACGCGCCCCCCTATTCCCCCGCTCCCTTGGGATGTGCGCACTCCTCTGCCCTTACCGCACGTTCCCGATCCCCCGCTTTCACCGCCCCGGGCCCCGCATCCGCGCCGTGCTCGCCGCTGAAGTCGTGGCGGGAAAAGCGGCATCATGCAGGAAAAGGAGCGCGGGGCGGCTCCGCTTTGTCAGCGGTGGCGCGATGGGTGGTGGCGGCGGCAGTGAGTGGATACGTGGGCGATAACGTATCACTCAGTGACGTGGAGGTAGTTGCGGGGGCGCTGAAAGCGGGAGGTACGGGGAAGGTGATAGCGCTGGCAGCTAGCGTTGCGAGGACGAGCATTAGGAGGAGCTTTTTGATGGGTGTGATGGCGCTGCTGCTGTGCAGCGTGCTGTTGAATGTCACGACTACTACGACGACGACGGCGGCTCAGGGAGCGCAGCAGAAGCAGTGGCAACAGCACCCCTTCACGCTCGGATCCATTCGCTTCCTTCCTTCCTCCCCCCGCCTCTCTGCAACGACTGCGACTCTTGCGATTCTTGAGACGTCTGCGATGCACCCTGCGACTGACCCTGCAACGGACTCTGCGACGGCCCTCGCTGTACTCCGTAGCGGACCTAGCTTTAAGGAGAACAGCGTACCTGTGACTGTATCCGGTGACTCGCAAACAGTGGAGCCCGGGACAGCAGGGCAGGACAGAGCGGTGGGACGAGCGGAGGAGGCACATGGCAGGAAAGCTGAATGGAAGGACAAGGGAGTAGATACGTCAGGAGGAGAGAGAGGAGAGGAAGAAGGAGGAGGAGGAGGTGGAGGAGGAGGAGGGGAGTTGCAGGGATCCCCAGGAAGTGAGGCGAGAGGTGTAGCACAGGGTGCCGCAGCGACGGTTGCGGCGACCGCGGTGGTGATGGCGACGGGAGACGCGGCGAAGGAGGCGGGAGACGACGACGCGGTGGTGCGCGCGGGGCGCAGCGATACGGGGTGGCAGTGGATGGAGAAGGTGCGCGGGAGCGCGGGCATGGCGGCACAACCGGCGCAGCTGACGCAGTGCATAGAGCGGTCCAAGACGCATAAAGGTAGCCTCGCGCGCACGCTTGCAATTCCGCGAGCGACCAGGGAAGAGCGCGCGAGAAAGAGATGGAGAGAGAGTCAGTGAGGCAAGGAGAAGGTCTGCAGGCGAAGGGAGCTTGTGAGGAGTTGCTGGTGGCATGGGCGGAAGGTACGGAGCTCAGTGATCCATGCTTCCTCTTCTGTTCTCCCTCACCCCCCCTTCATGTCCCTTTCCTCGCCGCGCTCCCTTGTGTGGCAGTCCCTGCGGCACGCACCAACGGCTACCTGGTTGTTACGGCCAACGGAGGACTCAACCAGATGCGCGCAGCGGTAAGCCGCGCCTTGACTCTTCGCACCCATGCACAGCACCCATCGTAGGCCTGTGCCGTGTCACTTTCCAACTGTGCGACATCTTTGGTGCTTCTCTTGTCCTCGTGGAGCTCTCAAGTGCGGGTAATTCTTGCCCGCACTCCTCGTTTCCATCACAGTCCCAGTCAACTACGACATGCGTGAGTCATGCGTGTTTGAATCCACCTGTCCCTCCCCTTCCTCTAACCCCTCTCCTTTCCACTGATCCCATGTACCTCCCGTCTCTCGTTCCTCTTCTCTCCGCGTCTCCTCTCGACTCCCGACGTCTCATCATGCATGCCCCGTGCAGATATGCGACATGGTGGCCGTGGCTCGTCTCATGAATGCCACGCTGCTGCTGCCTCGCCTCGACCACTCCTCCTTCTGGGCCGACCCCAGGTGCGCCCTGCCCTGCCATGCCATGCCTCGTGCCCCATGCCTTTGGCCCATGCCTTGGGCCCATGCCCCATGGCCATGTCCCATGCCATTCCTTTCGCCCATACATGACCCAGCCTCGGCAATGGCTCTTTTCTGATCGGTCCAAGTTATCTGTAATATACCGACAAACTCTGCCCTCATGCCCCACTCCCTCTGCCTGGCACCATCCAGCGAGTTTTCGGACATCTTCGATATAGAGCAATTCATTAAGGTGCTGCAGCCTGATATCCGCATTGTGCGGTCGCTGCCTGTCCACCTGCAGTCCGTGCAGGCGCCAGAGATTCAACCCATATCCTGGTCTAACGTGAGTTCCGCACCAAACCCTGCCATATCCTCCCCTTCATGCCTGCCGTACTCTCTCATCGTTCTCTACCATCCTGCACTCATCCCACCTCTCTCTCCATGGATAAGCGGCATTGTCAGACAACCTCCTGTCTCCCCACCAGGACCCTCCTCCCCAATCCCTCTTTCCCCCTCTACCCTTCTCTCCCCCTTCTCCCCCTCGTCCCCCTTTTGCATGTTTTCCGTGTGCTGCACACCCCCCAGGCGTCCTACTACAAGGATCAGCTGCTGCCGTTGCTGAAGAAGCACCAAGTGCTCTCCTTCCCTCTCTCCGATTCACGCCTCGCCAACAACCGCCTGCCAGCGTCGCTGCAGCGCCTGCGGTGCCGTGCCAACCAGCAGGCACTGGCTCACACGGAGCCCATACAGGCCGCGGCCAGGGAGGTGGTGCAGCGGCTCAGGGAGCGAGGCCCGCGCTTCATAGCACTGCACTTAAGGTGGGGGCAGGTTGTGGCTTGCACCCGTGTGGCCTGCAGTGTGTGATGCCTGCGGTGTAGTGTGTGCAATCCAGGCTTCTTGGGATGGATGCACTGCAGCTGACCGGTGTATTACCACGCGGGTGCAGTGCGTAGGTGCCTCAACCCCCCCATATTTTTCCTCAACCCTCCATCCCCTCCCCCCTCCCCCCTCCCCCCTGTCCCCCCTGGACCAGGTATGAGAAGGACATGTTGGCGTTCACGGGGTGTGAGCACGGGCTGAGCGCGCAGGAGGGCGAGGAGCTGAGGGCGATGCGCATGGCGGTGGCGCGGTGGAAGGAGAAGGACATCAACGGGGAGACCAGGCGCCGCGACGGGCTGTGCCCGCTCACACCACGCGAGACGGCGCTCATGCTGAGGGCGCTGGGCTTTGGCAATGACACGGTGCTGTACGTGGCCGCTGGCCCCATCTACGGCTCCAAGGGCCTTCAGGTGAGAAGCCCTCCTCCCTCTTCTCACCTTGCATGTTGTTGCTCTGGGAGATTGGAGCTCATATGCTTCCCTGCTTAGAGTGCTACTCTCTGTTTACCTCTTTGACCCTTCTTGCCCCTGCTATCCTCCCCCTGCCATGAATCTGCCCCAGGATCTGGAGGCTATTTTCCCCAACACCTTCACCCACTCCACCATCCTGCCGCCATCGCAGCTCGCCTCACTATTGCCCTTCCAGAACCGCCTGGCAGCTGTGGACCACGAGGTTTCGGTACAGAGCGATGCGTTTGTGTTCACGTATGATGGCAACATGGCCAGAATGGTGCAGGGGCACCGGCGGTTTCACGCGCATGTGCCTACCATCGACCCTGATAAGTGAGTTGTGGATTTTTAGACCCATTCAACAGTTGTGGGTTTTGTTGTCACTTTCGTGTTTCGCCTGCAAGGTCGACGAGGCCAAGGTGACTCATGCTTCTCCATCCATCGTGGTTGTACCTACACTCATGATCACATGCAGGCGTGCAATCATCCATGCTCTGGATGCCTATCAATCAGGAAATGCCACATGGAACGAGACAAAAAAAGCTATCCGGAAAGCGCACGGGCCGTATCGGTTGGGGATGCCTAGAGCAAGGAGGGTGGGGGATAACCCCAAGTTGGAGGATAACTTCTTTGCCAATCCCTATCCTGGCTGCATGTGTCGACAACCTCAGTCTGCTATCAGCCATTAGAGCCAGGAGCAGCACCTGTTGTGGAGCAATTCATAAGAGGAAAAGTGGTGTAGTTTGTCTGGTGCTATGCATATTAGCTAAGTTGCTAGGCTGAGATTTAATGCCTGGGACTAGCAGAGTTCGTGGTGCCTGATATGCTTCAATCAGATAGGCAGTTTTCTAGATTCATGGATGGCTATCTTTGCCATCCCCACCTCCCCACCACCCCAGTCTACCCCTTCATGACACTTGCCCTATCAATCCATGAAGTTCTGGTGTTCATTATTTTATATTATGTGCTTTCTTATGAAGTGTCCTCCACTTTCTCAAAACTAGCAACGCGCGGACACAACACGTGAACGGATCGATGACGCACGCCGACCGCAACTGATACACCACACCACACACATCAGATGCGTTACTCGTTGGCAAACGCGCGCGATCGACGCAGGGTGAATCCCCTCCACCTGTCATGATGAACGACCTTCTGGCGTGGCTGTCGTCAGCACCGACTCCACTGAAGCTTCGGCGAGAACATGCGAAACTTCTGGCTTACGAACCACCATCCAATCACAGGGCGAGAAACAGCTGTTACCATCCGAGGAGAGTTTCGTGCAAGCGATATGATCGCACTGCGTCACATCTCGCATCGCGATGCAACACTCGTACGTGTTTGTGGCTGGCATTCACATCCAGGAAGAAAGAACCCTTGTTTTCTCAACAACTCCCTCCCACCAAGCCTTACGTCACCACCAGCAAGGCTCAGATTTAGCGTCGAGCTACCTCGAGTTCGGCGGTGCTGCATAAGACAGCCAAGCTCATTGGCCTGTCTCATTCGCACAAGCCATTGCTTTATGCTTTAACTCGTTGCTCCTTCACCTGATTTACTAGTAATTGAACCCTCGCCGTTCGGATTTTAAACGCAGCCTGCAGTAGATTTTCAAGCAAGTTTTGTCAGCGACAGGTGGTTTATAAATCCCACGAGGCGGCGTACCAACTAGATGGCGGAGGTGTCAGGCGAATATTACGAGCGACAGGGCCCCGTTGCGACGATGGCGGAAGGCGAAGCCCACCACGTGGCGATGGCTCCTCGTGAAGGCACGCACAGCTTCGCCAAGGCGTGGAGCAGCGAGCGGCTCTCAGGTGCCAGCTAGGACCTGGAGATGTCGCCTTATCCCACAATATTGCTCCTCGCTCGGCCGAATCTCACCCAGCTTACCATATTCCCTTTTCTCTCGTCTTCTCCTTTCGGTGCCTGGTTCTAGTGATGTTGAACCACACGCGACTCTGACCTTGAGCCGTTTGTCATAATTGCTACCGAAACTCTCTATCAGACCAGTCAGGCACCACCATTTTGGCCAATTCGCTCACTCGCTATCCGTATGCTCTCCTTGATTCCTTCACTTGGCTCAGACGGCGAGGAGCGGTGGGAAGCGGAGGTGAGGCGGCGAGAAGGCGTGGAATTTACGCGCGACGTGAAGCAGTGGCTGTGCGAACGGACGGACTTCGGAGAGGCATGGAAATGGACGCACATCACCATGGTGCGCGCATGACCACGGTGTGCCGCCTGCTGCTTATGCTATGCTCCACCCTGCCATCCATGCGCTTGTTTGCGGAGTGCATGGCGGAGGTTCATGCTTGACCTGTGTGGCATGGGCACCTTCCCAATGACTCTATTCGTCTGTGCGCGTGTGTCCCTCTGGCCGTGCCGCGCGTGGCATGTGATGTCATTTGTGATTGCTGCGCGATGGCTTGGGTTGCTGACACAACCTAAGCCCAAGTCTTGGTGACGGTGATGTTGAGCGACACGACTTGGATGTATGCTGTGCAACATGTGGCACCATGGCTGCGTTGGTTGTACGGTGATGGTGGCTAAGGTGGTGATGGTGACGCTAGTGGCACTGATGTGAGTGCGGCTGTGCTGTCTGTGTTGATTGTGCCTGTGGTGCGATGGCAGCGCGAGGCGTTGGAGGCGAGTCAAGCAGTGCAGCCCGTGCGTTTCTACCTCATGCCATCACAAAGCGCCCTCTACAGCGCCTGGAGCTTCTGCAGGTTGCCGCACATACTGATTACCATCTTCAATCCTGACCAAATCTCCCCCCCTGCCCATCCCCTCGTAACCCATGTCCCTCTCACCCTTCTCTCCATTCCATAATGTTGTTGCTCCAGTCACCTGTAACTGCCTCCTCACCCGCTCCCCTTGCTCGCGTCTCTCTGCCCCCATGCCACGGCACCCAGGCTAATGGTGGGGCATCCTGAGATAGTCCACGGGGGCGCCACAGCCTTCGCGTTTGATGAGACATTTGGGCTCTTGTTCGGTGAGTGCACGTGGGAAACGAGACGGGAGGGACACAGGCGAGGATGTGAGGCGAGAGGGCAGGTGCCACTGAGGTGCAGGCATGGCGTTCATTCACTTTGAAGATGCACAGTTGGCTACATGCACCATTGACATACGCGTTAGCATACACGCTCATAACCACATCAATGGTTGTTCAATTCTCACGTTCTCGTTCTCTCCCTGTCACTTGCACGGTGCAGCCACACTGAACCTGGGCCCTGGGTTCACCGCCAACATCAACATCAACTATCGCAAGGTGACTCACCCCCACGCCTTGGCATGTCAGCCATGCCTTACCAATCAGCCATGCCATACTATGCCAGCCCTTTATGAATTCTCCAGTGTCTCTCTGCATCGCTGTCAGCAGCGTTATTCATTAACGCGTACCCCCCTTATCATTCAAGTCTCGGAAAACCAGTAAGCTTCCTTCCAGCAGCATAGGTTTGCACGAATGGCCTTTCCTGTTCCTCCATCTCCGCCCCAGTTAACCATCATAACAACCATGTGAATCTGTGCTGTGCCCCTCGTGGTGCCTGCTCCCCATGCAGCCCCTCCCAGCTGACATGGTGGCGTGCCTACATGCCTCCCTTGAGAGAAGAGAAGGCCGAAAGGTAAACCACCCCCACAAACACGCACAGTTGCTTCTCACCATGTCTTATGGTCACAAGCTCAGGTGCCACCCGTCCTTTTTCCTCAACCCTGTTTTCTGACTGGGTCTGCTCACCCATCCTTCTGTGCTCTCCCCCTCCCTTCCCCACAATGCTCCCCCCTCCTCAGGTGTATCTCAAGGGATCGCTGCGCAGTGCCCCTGATGGAGAGATATTCTCCGAGGCCACTGCTCTCTTTATCATCCCCAGGAAACAAGAGTTGCACCAGCGGTAGCAAGTGCTGAAAGTACTTCTGTTATCTGTGGAAACTGTAATCTGTGTATCCGCATATTTACACACCGATGGCGATGTTCACTGCCCTGCCCTGATTGAAAGGCCTGTGTATGCTTTGCTGTCATGAGCATAGAGAACAAGAAACCCACGACCTTGCTGGCTTGGCAATAGGCCCAGATGGTCCTTTTAACAGCAACAGCACCACAGCACTGTCACTTTGATTTGAAGGGTAGTTGGCCCTCACAGACCCACCTACGCACAGATTCTGCACACACCTCAACTCACTACCACTCACTCCCTCCCTCCCGATGCCCTGCCAGCACAACCTTCCGAAGCACCCTACGATGCCCTCGCAGCAGTGCCATGCACTATCGGCCGACCACTGCCATCCACACCAGCAGCGGCGTTGCCTGCCTTGTCGGCCTTACCATGCGCCACCCCATCATCATCCCCTCCCAGCACCACTGCCAACCGGTCCCCATCATGCTCACTCGCACTAACTCCACGGCGCTCCCCCTCGCCCCCCTCCTCCCCTTCGCATGCGTCCTCCCCGTGCGGGCGATTCTGCTGGCGCCACATGTCAGCGTACGTGCCGTTGAGTGCGAGCAGCGATGCGTGGTTGCCGCGCTCTACGATGTGCCCCTCATCCAGCACCACAATCTGACACACGCCCCATGGGTGGTGGGGGGAGAGAGCGAGAGAGAGAGCAAGAGAGACGAAGAGGTGCAGGCAGAAACAAAGAGACGAATCAGGCAAATGGTTCCCTGGGATTATCTGCAAAATCATTATCAGATATTCACATCAGAAACAAGACTGCTTGTACCTCGCATGCACCAAACTTGCCAGACAAGTCACAAACAGTCGTGCCCCAAATCATTCCAAAGCTGCTCCAGTGTACCACACATATCAAACCCTCACACCTGCACTGCACTGCACGGCACAGCACCGCACCGTACCTCGTCGCACTGCATGGCGGTGGTGAGGCGGTGAGCGACAAAGATGGAGGTGCGGTTGCGAGCGAGGCTCTGCAGAGCCGTGAGAATGGCACCCTCCGTGACACTGTCCAGCGCACTTGTGGCCTCGTCACACAGCCTGGGGGAGGGGGGAGAGAGGGAGGGGGCGGAGGGCGAGGGAAGAGGGGAACAGGGACAGGGAAACGGGGGAGTTAGGGGTGGGGATGTTTAAAAGGGTGATGGTGAGTAGTGTACAGCGAAGGGTAGGCGAAAGGACACAGAGGAGACAGGGAACTGCAGACACAGCGTTCGCAGACAGTACGTGCACGAAAACGCAAGGGAAATGCTGTATGGGAGGCAGGAGACTGGAGATGTGATATAGGCGACGGGAGATTAGAGAGGAGAGATGGGATACGGGAGATGGGAGAGGGGAGATGGGATACGGGAGATGGGAGAGGGGAGAGGGGAGAGGGAGATGGGAGATGGGAGATGGGGGTGCTTACAGAATTGGAGCTCCCTTAAGGAACGTTCTTGCGAGTGCCACTCGCTGCTTCTCCCCTCCACTTATCTGGTCAAGAGGCGAGAGGACAGGCAGCACACAGGCAATTGAGGGGGATAGCAAGGGATGGACGGGATAGACAGGGAGCGATAGGTAGAGATGGCCAAGCACACATCGGAGAGAACGTTAAAGGGGACGAATGGAGCAGGACGCACATGAGGACTAGCAGGGAGAGGGGAAAGCAGAGATGAGGGTGCAGAGCAGGAGGGAAAGAAGGATGCAAGCTCAAGACAAACAAACGACCACACTGCCACTGAAGCCAGCACCCCTACCCCCCCACTCCGCCTCGCATCCCCCCTCCCCCGTCCCACTTGCAGCACCAACCACACCGCACCGCCCTTCTCCCAGGAACCCCCACAGAGTGTCCCCATGGCCCGTCCACGCACCTTGAGCCCGCGCTCCCCCACCATGGTGTCATAGCCCTTGGGGAACTCCAGGATCTGCTCGTGAATGGCCGCCTGCCGTGCCGCCTCGTACACCTGTGGTGCAGCGCAGGGGGGACGTATGGCACGGGATGGGACGGAAAGGGAAGGGAGGGGATGGAAGGGAAGGGAAGGGTAAACTCGGGAAGGGGTTCTGAAGAGAGAAATGATGAACGTAAGTGCAAGATCGTTTGTCCTATAACAGGGGATACAGCACAACGAAAGAACATCTCCCCTTCCTCTGCACAGCTCTCCACCCATCATTCATTCCCCTCCTCTTCCCCCCCCCTCCCTCTTCCCCCCCCCAAAACCCCAGGCGTGGTGGGTGAGAGCGGACCTCCTCATCCGTGGCAGATGGGCGGCCGTAGCGGATGTTGTACATGATGCTGTCGTTGAATAGGACCTGGGGGGGGGACACGACACAGGGCGAGGCGGAGAGAGAGACAAGGGGGAGAGGGACGGGGAGAGGAAGGGGCGAAAGAAGTGGTGGGGGAAAGAAGGAGAAAGGAAAATTGTGGACAGGTGATGGGAGGAGACTACGGGGAAGGGGATGGGGCAATGTTATGCAGGCAGTGACGGGAAGGCATGGAGGAACGGTAGAGAGAGAGAGAGAGAGAGTGCAACCGGCAGCACGCAGCGGCAGCAGCAGAGGGAGTGGCCTGTGCAGGTGTGTACGGTATGCGTGAGATGAGTATCGGAATGGGAGGGGTACTGACAGTGTCTTGAGGCACGACCCCTATGGACTTGCGCAGGCTGTTGATTGTCGCTTGCCGGATGTCCTGGCCGTCCACCGTTATCTGATGGCACAAGTGAGAGTGCAGTGAGAGAAAAAAGGGGTTTAGGGTGGAAGGTGAGCATGTGTGTGAGGGGTGACAGAGTATGGGCACAAAGACTCGTGAGCGAGTGAGGCAGAGGAGATGGAGAAAACAGCACAAGGGAGAGTTGGGAGGGACAGAATTGGAGCGGGAGGCTTGTTTTGAGTCGACTCAGAACATTGGAGCGGGAGGCAGATAAGCATGGAGAACTGGGGGGGAAGAAGGGAGGTGACGTGATGTGACGTGAGGTGAGGTGAAGAGAGGTGAGACGAGGCGAGGTGAGTCGAGGTGAGAGCGAGATGGCTTACACTTCCAGAGTCGACATCAAAGAAGCGGTAGAGCAGACGCAGCACCGTTGACTTGCCTGGACAAACAATGCATGCAGACATGGGATGCATAGATGCCTTGCAGGTTAGCAGGAGGAGCAAGCACAGTGTGGGCACATGAAGCGGAGAGCACATGCATACTCCCAGGGCAGTGCACTGTAGATGCTCTAGAATACAGTTGCTTCTTTTGAGATTCTGACTCCAATATTCTCTGGCACATGACTGTCGCGGCGACGAGCTCACCACTGCCACTGGGACCAACGATGGCGAGGCTCTTCCCTCCCGGCACATGCAGCGACACGCCATTCAGAATTGGCTTCTCGTCGTGGTACCTGGTGCATGGGTGCCATGGGGAGGCAGTGGATCACAGACCGCATGTGCACGTGTGTGCACCTGTGTGCGCGCATGAGAAGTGGTGTGACAGCATAGCACATTATAATCAAAAGATCTCAACAGCACCAGGGGTTGAATCCACTCGCATCATCAACGTGTCACCCTCACGGCCTCAACAACCAGTCAAACCCGCGGCCCAACTTCTCATCATGCCACATCACATCACATCACATCACATCACACCACATCACAAGCAGGAGGAGGAGCTCGCTCACCCGAATGTGACGTCGTGGAATGAGATGCTGCTGTCCTTGAGCTCCAAAGGCCGTGCATCCGGTATGTCCGTCACCGATGGCTTCAGCTGCATAGAGAGAGGGGGGCGGACGGGAGACAGAGAGAGAGGGAGAGCAGAGAGAGGAGAGAGAGGTAGAGGGGTGCAAATGAGGTGTAATCAAAGGGGGGGGAGAGCGGCGAAAGAAACAAGCTGCATAAAATTTCAGGCGGCACAAGCTGAATTCCACAAACAAGCAAACCTCAAACTTATGACTCGCAGGCCGTGCAGCAACCAGAAGACAGCACCCCCAACCCCACCGCCACCCCGTCGCCATCCCTCCCCCCAACCCTTTCTGCACCCATATCCCCCATCCGCTGCACCCATTCCCCCACGTCCAGCACACCGCCCCCCCGTCCCCCCCCCCCCACCCACACCCCAGTCCCACGTTGAGCAGGGAGAACATGTGGTGCATGTCTATGAGGCTCTGGCGCGTCTCGCGGTACACACTGCCCAGGAAGTTGAGCGGCAGCGACAGCTGGAACAACAGCCCGTTCACCATCACCTGCGAGCACGCACACACGCACACACGCACACACGCACACGCGCACACGCGCACACGCACACGCACACACGCACACACGCACACCCGCACACGCACACACGCACACACGCACACATGCACACATGCACACACGCACACACGCACACAGGCACACACGCACACATGCACACATGCACACATGCACACATGCACACATGTACACACGCACACATGCACACACGCACACATGCACACATGCACACACGCACACATGCACACACGCACACATGCACACATGCACACATGCACACATGCACACACATGTGCGCCGTGGGGATCATGCCATGGTGAGGAGGTTGGGGGAAGGGGGTTGGGGGGTTGTGGAGACGGATTGGGGGGGAAGGGGAAGTTGGGATTAGGTTGGGGAAAGAGATGAGGGAGGTGTGGAGGGAGTGACGGCGAGGGAAGAAGGGGGTGAGAAATGAGGAGGGGGCAATCTTGAGAAATGGTTGACAGATTAGAACGGGGGCTACGGGTTTGAAGAGGGGGGTTACATAGAGTGGAGAGGTGGAAGATGGATGTCACCAACGAGAATGATTAACCCTACCTGTTTCCCATTTCCCTGCTTCTCCCAATCCCCTCCTGCCCCCCCTCCCATTCCCTTTCTCATCCACCTCTCAGTACCACACCATCACTTCCCCTCAAAACCCTCCACATTCCCTTCCCGCCCACCATTTCCCCCCCCCCCCCCCCCCACACGGCTCACGAGGTCGCCAATGGTCATGTGGCCAGCGGCAATGCCCTGGCCGCACATGACCATGGTGTAGGCAAGCGCAGCGCTGAAGATGGCGTTCTGCCCGAAGTTGAGCAGCGACAGGCTGCTCTGCGTCTTGCGCGCCGCTACCTCGTACCCTGCAGGGGTGGCAGCAGGCACGGAGATGACGCGAGGCGGGATTAGGTGGGATCAAGTGTGGAGAGATTGAGAGACACGGTGCGTTGGAGAGTAGTGGTAGTGTGATGTGAAGAAGAAGGGAAGCAGGAGGAGAGAGGGACGACAAAGCTGAGGTGACATGCGGAAGGGAGCAATCAGAGGCTGAACGAAGGGGCCGGGAGAGGAGAGAAAGGAGCAGAGGGAGGGACAGGAAAAATGCTAGTGAACCGATTGAAATAGATAACAGGAGGAAATGGATAGCAGGAGGGTTTCGCCGGCAGGGGGCAGGCAGCACTGACGTTTGAGGAAGGTGTCGTACATGGCGGCCTCATGCTCCTCGTTGTTGAAATACTTCACTGTCTGCTCTCACCCTCGCACCCATGCACCCACGCACCCACGCACCCACGCACCCACGCACCCACGCACCCACGCACCCACGCACCCACGCACCCACGCACCCATGCACCCACGCACCCATGCACCCATGCACCCATGCACCCACGCACCCACGCACCCACGCACCCATGCACCCATGCACCCATGCACCCACGCACCCACGCACCCACGCACCCACGCACCCACGCACCCACGCACCCACGCACCCACGCACCCACGCACCCACGCACCCACGCACCCACGCACCCATGCACCCATGCCCCCAGGCACCCACGCACCCATGCACCCATACACCCACATTACGCAAGCGCGCGCACAGGAGGAAGGGAAGGTGTTGAGGTGGCAGGGGTGGACACGGAATGGTGTGTGCACACAGGGGATGATAGCATAAGATTCCCTTTACAGGACAATGTGACACTAGATGAGGGATGAGAGGGACGCGATGGTCAGAGGGCATTACAGGGCGGTGAGAGAGTCACATGCTATCCATTCCATGCCATACATGTTATTCCCATGTCCTCCCAGCGACCTCAACCCCCCCTTCGGTCGTCCCTCATGATCTCCCCCCCACCTCGTAGTTGATGAGGGAGTCGATGGCGCGAGAGCTGCTGTCGTTGTCCGCCTTGTTCATCTGCTGCCGGAACTTGGTGCGCCACTGCCCACCACCATGCATACACGCACCAGGGGGACGGGGAAAGCCAGGGGAGGAGAGGGGAAAAAGGGGAGGAGGGAAGGGAGAGGATGGGGGGGAGGAGGGGGGTGGAGGGGAATGGAGAAAAGAGAGGGAGGAGGGAAGGGAATGATTGAAGGGGGGAGCTTGAGCATTAACAGTGGGAATGCAGATCCCAGGTGTGGGGATGAGAGATGCGACTTCGAGTGGGAGCAGACAAGTAGGAGGAGCAGTGGGATGGGGAGAAGAGAGCGAAGGACCTGCGGTGACTTGAGGGCAACTGGCAGTGTGATCACAGCATGGAAAAGGAGGGAGGAGGGGAGGTTGCAACGAAAAGGAATGTGGAGCAGAGTTAGAATGAGGGAGTTCAGAGTGTGAGGAGGGGTGAGAGGTGCACCTGTGTGATTCCGAGGGTGAACGCAGTGTACGCTGTGACTGTTGCGCCTGTGACAACAGCAAAGGAGGGGCCAAACTTGTACGCCAGGATGCTGGATACCAGCCCGATCTGAGCAGACGAGGGGGACATGGGCGACCATGATGCATGGGACAGGTCAAGGTGGGTACGGCAGAAGAGAGGGGGGAGGAGGGAAGAGGAGAGGAGAGAAGAGTGAGAGTTGAAGAACACGATTGGTATTTATTTGAATTTCACATATGCCTGAGAAGAAGCCGTATGAATGGGCATGGAGAACGAAAAGGAGGGGGCGGGGGAAGGGTTTCGTCTAAGGGCGAAGAGAAGAAACGCGGCGAGCGCAGGAGGCGTGGCGGGGCGGGGCGAGGGCAGGGTGAAGCAGGCAGGGAGGGGAGGGGAGCAGTGACCTCGAGCAGTGTAGGGAAGACGTTGAAGAGCATGGAGGAGAGGATGAAGTTGATGGCTCTCGTGCCCCGGTCTATCGTTCGGTTCAACGCCCCCGTCTGCCGACTGGACGACAGGGAGAGGAAAAGGGAGTGGAGGAGGGGAGGGAAAGGGAAGGGGGAAGGGAAGGGGGGAATGAAGGGAGCATTAGAGGAGGAGTGGGGAGGGAGTTGGAAAAGGGTTGTGAGGGAGACTGCAGCAGGGCAGTGGAGAGTGAACGTGGTTGAAACGAGAACCCAAACAGGAGAGGCGGGAGCATGTCTAGTGCAGGGTGGGTCGTGAGTGGGGCGTGTGAGAGGCACATGTTAGAGGGGCGTGCGTGCACGTGAGGCACACCTGAGGTGGAAGGAGAGGTCCATGTCGTGCAAGAGCATTTGGAGAATTCCCAAAAGCGACTCAGATTTAAAGGGGCGTGTGTGGGGGACGTGAGAGCGGGTGGGGCTCACCTGAGGTGGAAGGAGAGGTCCATGTCGTGCAGGTGCAGGAACACCTGCCTCGCAACCTTGCGAATGGTGCCCTGTGCCACGTTCGCAAACACCGCATTGCGCAGCTCTGTCATGCCACGCACACACGCGGAGGGAAGGGACGCGCAGAAGAGGGCACACAAAGCGGATGGACGACATCAGTACTCTCGTGGCGCTCCCCCAACCCCATAATCAGCCCCTCACACATCCCCACCACCAGCCCCATACGCATCCCCATCACAGGCACGCCCCCAGCAGCACTCACCATTGCACGCAGAAGCACCAGCACGTGCTAGGCCATAACCGAGCAGCATGGCGGAGGGCGTGGTGAAGAGCGCAAAGAAGAGCGGGTCTGAAGCTGCTGTGGCTGCTGCTGCCGCCGCTGTGGCGCCCGTGGCCCCCGCTGCTGCTGACAGGCTGTCTATGGCGTGCTTGAAGAGGAACGGCACCTGGATGTTCAACAACTGCTCGGGGCAGAAGCGCAGGGGCGAGGGAGCGAGGAGGGGGACGCACAGGGGGGAGGGGAGAGGAGCGGGGCAGTGCACAGGGGGGAGCGGGAGGAGCAGTGCAGGCGGAGGGACAGTCGGGTGCAGTGCAGCAGGGAGTGGAAGAGAGGGTGGGACAGATGAGCACGAGGCACCTGCACTCTCACGACATTCTTCCTTCCCTTCCTCCTCATGCCACCAATCACCCGCCCACACTAAACCATGTGAATACCTTAAGCCCAAAACCCTGTCCCCCGAATCCTGACGAGCAGCCCCTGCAACACGCCCATCAGCCTAACCTTTGCAGAGACGAGCAGAGTGAGGGCAGCGGCAACGCGGCGGCGGTAGTCGGGGTTGTCCTTGGGCCACAGGTACTGCGCCAGCGTGCTCAGAATCGCCATGTCCGACGCCTCCTCCCCGCCCTGCCCTCCCCCTGCTACCGCCTCCCCCGCCCCGCCCTTCCCTGACGCCCCCACCACCGCCTTCCCGGAACCATCCCCCTCTGTTTTCCCCTTCCCTGGGCCTGCCGCTGCCCCCCCTGCCTCCCGTTTCTTGCCTACGATGGCAGCACCCTCCTTCCCTTCCCCCAGCCCAGGTACAGCAAGAGCCGCCTTTCCTTCCGCCGCACCTGCCGCCGCTGCTGCCGGTACACTGCCCCCCCCTGCCCCGGCGCTTCCCCCTAGCCTGCCATGCGCGCTACTCGTGAAAGGCACAGCCAAGTGTGGTGCGTACGGGCGTGTGACCGAAGTTACGGCCGTTACTGGAGCAGCGCTTAGCGAGGACAGTGCGGGTCGAAGGACATAAGAAGCGGGAAGGGCGGCGTAGGGTGATGGAGGTGAAGGGCCTTGCGGTGATGTGAGGTGCTGGGGGGAGGGAGAGGGGAAGGGGAGGGGGACAGGGGCACATGGGATAGCGGGTAAGGAAAGCTGGATGGGTTAAAACTGGTTAGCAGGCGAGTGCAGAGGAGCGGCTTGTTTGTGGAGAATACGCGTGGCGCAATGGCTCGAAGGGATAAGCCCGAGACGATAGGAAAATGTAGGACTGAAACTGGTTTGGGATGGTATGGGACCGGGAGTGGACAGTAATGCGATGCTAACAGGATAGAGGGGATCAAGGGGAGCGGCTGACCAGCAAAGGCGGCGCCGCCATTGCGTCTCGACTGCTGCTCGTCGCCCACGCATCTGCATCGCACCCAACGTGCGGCAGAGATCTCGCCACGTCAGACGCGCCGTGAAAGAACGGGGCAGGTCTCGATCCTCGCAACTCCGTGAATTTTTCCACCGACATTCCTGCTTCCGCTGATCTCGCCGCAACCCACGGTGTGTTTTCCGGGACTTCTGTTACCATAGCCGCGTCCATCACCGATCCGGCGACTCGCGAGAACGACTGGCCACTGGCGTGGCGCCACGTTTCCAGCGACTCCTGGAAGGCATCGCGACCCGATCGCTGGCACGAATCTGCGGGCCCAAGCCCGCGAGCCACAGCATCGCCGCTGCCGCCGGCGCCGCTACCGCTGCCCCTCGCAGCCCGTACACTGCATCGGTAAACTGCGCGAGGGAGAAACTTCCACGTGGGCATGAGGAACGGACGGGAGATCACGAGGTAGATCGAGAGCTAGAGAGTGAGCGGAAACAATCGGGGGCCAGGGTCGCCACAAGGGGAAGGACGAAAATGAGGTGCTGCCGGAAAGGAATCTGGGGAGGGTGCGAGGGAATTCTATAACACGGCCGTGGCGAGAATGGCGGATCCGGGGTGTGATGGAGGCGAAGCAGTGGCGGATCCCGCTAGGGAGAGGCGCATGTCGCGGCGAATGGCGGTGCTACGAGGCGGAAAGGCCCAAAACCCGCGCGAGTGCCTCTTCAAGTGGCTTGTGGGCGTGAAGCTGCAGCCAGCCTCCAGCTGCTTTTGAACGTACGCACTGTAGGGCAATGTAAGCTACGGTATGCTGGTGTGAGGATTCACGGCTATTATTTTTGGATTCAGATACTTCACGTTAAGGTGTTCTGCGTATAATCTGAGTGTGTTCACGTGTGGGATTTCTTTGTTTACTTTCAGCTATACTTGCCTACCAGGACACCTGAATTTTCTTTAATAAAGCATCACACCAGGAAGTGTATAAATAGCAAGCTCATGATCCTACTAAAGCTGCACTAAATATACATTAATTCTCTGCCTATACATACAAGCTGTTGCATCCCAGCTCAATGTACTACTACTAGTATCCTTTCTAGTGGCAGCATGCCATCCATGCCCCCCCCGGCTTGGACTGGCAGCGCAACAGGCAGCAAGGCTGAGCCACGAGCATTGCTTCTCCCAAGACGTGCGGGAGGCCTACTAGGGACTGGCTCTGCCCACCCCCACCTCCACCAAATGACAACAACTGCTGGCCAGACAGTGTTGGCACTTGGTGTCAAAATGAGGAATGAATGTTCCATTGATGTTGGTTGGGGTACATATAACAAACCCTAACTTCTGTACCCCTTAAGACAAACCTCACTACAGGCTACAACATTTGACACACCCCCATAGCCTAAGTGAGGGGTGTCTAGCAAAATCAAAAAAGAGTACGGTCACAAGACCAGTCCAAAAGAAAACAAAGCTCAGGGTGGATCACAACGTCACCACACACTCTGAGCACAAGCAACAGTGGCCACAAGGCCAGTCCAAGAGATCACAAGTATATATAGCAAGTGTACAGACGAAGCAGGCAATAAACTCAAGTCTACACATGACTAGAACCTGTGTCAACAAGGCCTAACTGCACACAACACCTCTGGTGGTCACAAGGCGGAAGCGCCTTGGTGAAGATGTCTGCAGTGTTGGCCTCGGACTCCACGAACTCGAAGCGAGCCTGTCCACGTCTCTGCAACTCTCGCAGAAGAAAGTACCTGACGTGAATGTGCTTCACTCTGCTCTCCAGTAGCGGCTCACGACAGAGGAGGATCGACGCCTTGTTGTCAGTAAACAAGGTCGGTGCAGAGCTCGGCCGCTCACCAAGGTCGGCGAGCAAGAAGGTCAACCACCGCAACTCCTGTGCCGCCATGGCACCAGCGTAAATCTCAGCCTCAGCTGTAGAGGTCGAGACAGAAGAGGAGCGCGTGGAACGCCAGGAAACAGCTCCAGAACCCAGACTGAAACAGTACCCCTGAGTAGACCTGTGAGTCTCGGCGTCGTCAGCGTAAGAGGAGTCACAGTGACCAGTGAGTACGACAGACTGCTGCCCTCCAAGAACTAGCCCCACGTCTGATGTAGTCGCTAGGTACTTCGCCACCCTCACAGCTGCCGTCCAGTGAACAGGACGGTGTCTCCCTGGCGCAACAAAGCGCGCAAGGATGCTGAGAGGGAAGGCGAGGTCCGGGCGAGTACAAGTCATCAGGTACATGAGGCAACCCACAAGCTCTGCGTAGGGACCACTAGGCTCAAACGGCTCGTCAGGAAAGGGACCAGTGAGTCTGTGGTCAACAGCGAGAGGTGTGCGCTGTACGGTGGAGTGCTGAAGCCCGAACCGCTGAAGGACCTGCTGCACCATGTGTGACTGTGAGAGTGTAATGGTGCGAGCGGCTCTGTCCCTGGTGATCTGTAGGCCAAGGTAGTGGCGCAGCTCACCAAGATCAGTGCACGTGTGTCTCTTCTGCAGTTCGGACTGTGAAGCAAGGAAAACAGGAATGAAATGACTAAGGAAAGATTGGGTACAAATACAACCCTAGAAACCCTGTACCCCATATGTGCTACCCCACTATAGCCTACAGTAACTATGTCATATAAATCTGACACACCCCCATAGGCAAAGTGGGGGAGAACAAGGGGTCACAAGACCAGTCAAGCAAAGCAAAGCAAGCTCAGGGTGGATCACAAAGTCACCACACAGTCCGAGCACAAGAGTAGGGCCAGAGGCCAGTTCACATGCAGGAGTACAGACATATATATAAAACTAGACAAGCAAGAGCAGGCATATATATATGTCACAGTACAAGTGAAGTCAAGAGGAGAGCAAGTGAGGCAAGACATGCACAAGACCCAGCTGGGTGCAAAAGCGCTGATGGTCACAAGGCGCGAGTGCCTTGGTGAACACATCAGCAGTGTTGGCCTCAGAGGCCACGTACGCAAGTCGCAACTGACCACGCTGCTGCAGCTCACGAGCAAGGAAGTAGCGGAGAGCAATGTGCTTCGTTCTGTGCTCCAAGCGCTGCTCTCGACACAAGGCCAGCATGGCCTTGTTGTCTACGTACAGCACTGGAGGAGAACGAGGCGGCTCTCCAAGGTCAGTCAGCAGGTAGGTGAGCCAGCGAAGCTCCTGTGCAGCCATGGCCCCGGCGTAGATCTCAGCCTCACAACTGGAGCCGAGAACCGAAGACGAGCGAGTAGACCGCCACGAGACAGAGCCGGAACCAAGGCTGAAGGTGTAACCCTGTGACGACCGCTGCGTAGCCTGGTCGTCAGCCCAAGAAGCGTCCGCGTGGCCGGTAAGGACCACTGGACTCCGCCCTCCAAGCACTAGCCCCATGCCCGACGTGCTGCAAAGGTAGCGCAATACCCTCTTCGCTGCAGCCATGTGCTCCGGTCTGTGTCTCCCAGGAGCAACATAGCGAGCAAGAATGCTAAGAGGGTATGCAAGGTCAGGTCGTGTGCAGGTCATCAGGTACATGAGGCAGCCAACAAGCTCTGCATACGGACCACTCGACTCTACGGACTCATCCGAAGGCAGAGCTGAGAGTGAGTGGCGAGTAGGCAGAGGAGTGGCCTGAGGCGAGGAGTACCTGAAGCCGAAGCGCTGAAGGACCTGCTGCACCATGTGTGACTGAGTCAAGGTAATGGTGCGGCGTGCTCTGTCCCGAGTGATCTGCAAGCCAAGGTAGCTGCGCAGTTCACCCAGGTCTGTGCACGTGTGTCTCTTCAGCAGCTCGGACTTCACGTAGGCGAGTCCAGCAGTGTCTGCTGTGGCAAAGACCAAGTCGTCGACGTACACGAGGATGTAGAACGGCGGCAGGGAAGTGTCGGTGCGAAGAAACAGCGACGGGCCAGCAGTAGAAGGAGCAAACCCAAGAGCCGCAAGCGTAGTCCTCAGTGTGTCGTGCCACTCACGCGGTGCCTGGCGGAGACCGTAGACTGGCCGTCGGAGGCTCCACTGGGTGCCAGGAGGGAAAGTCCCAGTGAAGCCAGGTGGACGGCGAAGCCAGATCTCCTCGTGCAGGCTACCCTGCAAGAACGCAGTGCTGAAGTCGAGAGAGTGAAGCTCGTAGTCGCGCTGAGCGGCTATGTGCAGCAGCACCCGAAGAGTAGTCATCTTCGGGGTGGGAGAGAAGGTCTGAAAGTAGTCAACTCCCTGCCGCTGACTGAAGCCACGAGCAACGTACCGTGCCTTGAAGACAGGTGGAGAGCCCGGCGGCCGCTTCACCCTGAAGATCCACATGCCACTGACGATGTTCGCCCCAGGAGGGGGAACCGCGTCAACGTAGGTGCCTGTGGACTTCCAGGAAGCCATCTCTGCATCCATAGCTGCCTGCCACTGAGAGGAGTAGGGACCCTCTACGGCCTCCGCGTAAGAACGCGGAGTCGGGATGTCTAGTGCATCCGGGTCTCCCTCAGGGGCAAGCAGTACAGACGCGAGATGAGGTGAAGCAGCCGCTAGACACTGTAACTCCTCCTGCCTGTCCTCTAGGACGTCCGTGCCAAGAGCACACTCACCCCCGACGGACGGAGGACAGACAGACGCAGACTCAGCAACAAGACTAGCAGCGTAGTCGAGACGACAGCGAGCAGCAAAGTCAACGAGCTCAGCGACTAGAGCAGACGCAGCAGTGGACTCAAAAGAGGGGTCAGTGACGACAGTAGCAAGCAGACGCGTGACAGTAGGACTGGCAGCGCGAAGAGAGTCCGACTCAGGGTCGGCAAGCGCAGGAAGAGAGGACTCAGGAGGAGAAGGCAAAGGGGCACGCAGAGGAGCAGTGGACGGACGCAGAGACATCCGGTGCGTGCCAGGGACAGGAGGAGGACGCTGACGCGAACTGCGACCACTAGCGCGAGCAGCACGAACAGGCGACGCGGGACGAGACGCAGGCTCACGACGCTCAGCAAGACCTCCAGTAGGACCAGTGTAAGGAGAGGGAGCAGGCAGTGGAGAGGAAGGCTCCAGCAGGGACTGCGACTGG